CCTCTAAGATTCGATCACGAAAAATATATTTTGTACAAAACTTAAACTTCAGACTTTGCTCTTTCCAACAAAAAAAACATCTAACTAGTTTAGAAGTTCGCAGAGTGATTTAATACACTCAGACATTTCTGCAAAGACTTTTGCATCGCATGTTAGGCTATTAGGATATACAAAGGAAAAAATTTGCCAAAGTCTCTAATAAAATATAACGAGGTCGGCGCCATTACTTTTGGCATGCCCTATGTATCGACTCAATTCCGACATGCACTCGATTTCAAGCCGGTCCGCTTTCTTTATTAGATATTGATTTGGACATCGTGGATATAAGGTAATTCATAAATTCGAGCGAAACTGTTAATTATTCGAAGGACAGATCTATTATTTACAATGAACATGTCACCAAGGTATGAACAGGAATCTGTCGCGCTATTATTGTTAAACGATCTTTCTCTTCTCAGGACACGGAAACTTATCAAACTGTCCGTCTTATGTACCTTTATATTATGGCCTTTAGGTGTTCTTTCCGGTTTTATCGCCACGTTTTTCCCAAAAACTGACACAACTGGTACTGCCTTGATCGGTTTCATTGACGATACAAGTATGTGAAAAAATAGATAATGATAATGCTATTTCATTCATGACTGAAACAATTCTATGTTCCTCGCAGATTCCACCATTACTACTCTCAACTATGAAACAAACTTCGCAACTAATGGTTCATCCGAGATTACTGATCTCTCAGGACTTGCTGATCAAGTAACGATTGTTTGAATAAACTTGATTTTGCTATAAAACATCTGTTTCAATATAACTATAGATTGCGAAAAAGTACAGCGTGTCCCGGAATATGGTACGAGTACTTTCAGCTCGATTCGTTCAATCTCTCATTTTGACCACAAAAACACCACAAAGGTTTGTTAAGCACTATTCTAATACAATACTGAATATAAAGCTAGATACAGCCAACAAGGCGAAACTAGGAAGCGAGTTACGAGTCTTCATCTACAGATACAAAAATTCATTTTTTACTTTTACACTATATACATGAAAAGTATTTCCTACACTAGCAGCATATTTTACTCTACCCCTAAATTTTAGCGCGCCGACCACTACCGACACAAACCTAAAGCTGAAAACGGTATTGACGATTGAAACCGAACTTAACTATCCAAGTTCATGTCATCAAGTAACAGCGTGTACCAACCGTTATATAACTAACATCCAAAACACAATTCAAAGGTCTGATTCAGCCGTTACCTTCGCGATATCACTTAGTAGCGGTATCAGCCTCAATCTTGGCGTCACTTTTTCTTCATTCAAGGTAACCGAACCGACTACTACAACCACCGCCACCACCACTACCACAACACAAACAACAGACACTACTATTACGACTACACAAACCACTACTACCACTACTACCACTACATCTACCACTATCACTACTACTACGACCTCTACTACTACTACCACTACGGCTACAGAAACTACTACTACCGCCACTATCACTACTACTACGACCACTACTACTACCGCCACTACCACTACTACTACTACCACTACGACAGCAGAAACTACTGCAACAGCTACTACCACTACTACAACCAACACTACTACTACCGCCACTATCACTACCACTACGACCACTACGACTACAGAAACTACTGCTACCGCTACTACCACTACCTCTGCAGAAAACACCGCTACGAGTACAGAAACTATTACTAGTGCTAACACTGTGGAACCCGCTACTACCACTACGACTACAGAAACTATCACCACCACTACCACAACGGAAACCACTACTACCAATACCTCTACAGAAACTACCACTACGACTACAGAAACTACTGCTACCACTACTTCTACAGAAACCACCACTACCAGTACGGACACCACCACTATCACTACGAAGACCACTACTACCATTACTACTACCACCGCAGGAACTACTGCTACCGCTACGGATACCACTATAGAAATTACCACTACCAATACGGAAACCACTATTACCACTACCTCTACAGAAACCGCCACTACGACTACAGAAGCCACAACTACCACTTCGGATACCACTACTAAGGCTACCACTACCACAACAGAAACCTCTACGGAAACCGCTGCTACGACCGCGACCACGGAAACCACTGCGACCACAACGACGACGGAAACCGCTGCTACGACCGCGACCACGGAAACCACTGCGACCACAACGACGACGGTGACCACTGCTACGACCGCGACCACGGAAACCACTGCGACCACAACGACGACGGTGACCACTGCTACGACCACGACCACGGAAACCACTGCGACCACAACGACGACGGTGACCACTGCTACGACCACGATGACGGAAACCACTGCTACGACCACGACCACGGAAACCACTGCGACCACAACGACGACGGTGACCACTGCTACGACCACGACCACGGAAACCACTGCTACGACCGCGACCACGGAAACCACTGCGACCACAACGACGACGGAGACCACTGCTACGACCACGACGACGGAAACCACTGCGACCACAACGACGACGGAAACCACTGCTACGACCACGACCACGGAAACTACTGCTACCACTTCTACTACCAGTACGACTACGACTACTACCACTACCACTACTAGTACTACTACTACCACGACCACGGAAACTACTACTACCACTACGACTACCACTTCTACTACCACTACGACTACCACTTCTACTACCACTACGACTACCACTTCTACTACCAGTACGACTACGACTACTACCACTACCACTACTAGTACTACTACTACCACGACCACGGAAACTACTACTACCACTACGACTACCATTTCTACTACCAGTACGACTACGACTACTACCACTACCACTACTACTACCACTACCACTACCACTACTACTACCACTACTACTACCACTTCTACTACCAGTACGACTACGACTACTACCACTACCACTACTACTACCACTACTACGGGAGCTATGAGTAAGTCAAGTGTATTTTTGTGGATATATCATTGTAACAGGCTAGTGCATCTTTGCACGAGCTGTTTTCATTTTGTATTCCGCAGTTGTGCAGTCGTGGCGATTTCAGATCGTTCGAAGCACTGATCGAGCAACTAAGAACGTAGGGTGCGAGATCATGTTTTTCTCTTGTTATTATTAAAAGGCACTTCTGTGTAAGAAGCCAATGTTACATCTGTCGAGAAAAGAAAACGCTTTTCAGACTTAACCTTAACGGTTTACGTTAACGTTAATAGTGACGGTTAATGGGTTGCAGCTAAGCATTATTTTCCACTCAATTAACTGATAAACGGTTAAATAATCATAATGTATGGTCCTTTCTGACAAGTAATTATCTATAGGACCCAGCAATAATTACATGTCCCCTGGTAAGATACTCATCACTCAGGTTATTGCGATCGTGGGAACGAGTCTTGGAAAAAGCGTTTATTCCAAGGTGCATTCCCGCGAAGTCTGATTGGGCGATTTCCGCCAATCAGCGATCAACGCGATTTTTTCAAAAAGTTATTTTCGCTGGAAATCGACTAGGGAGGCCTTATACAATGACGTTCTTTTGACCTCCAGAGATCTGCATTGGTTGTTAATTTTCTTTGAAGGAGGCAGTGTTTTACTCCGGTTGTGCGATATTAGCCATGAACCTTTGAGTTTCCGTTCATGAATCTAAAGATGCGGAGTCAGAAATGATCTACAATTGCGTCTGAAGTAATGGAAGATGTTTCTTTTACGTTAATTGTTAATATTAACGTTAACATCAACAGCAGCACCAAGCAGTTAGTAATATAATGAGATATAGCTCAGCATCCTCCAAAGAAGAACACTTCAAACTTTTGTTTAAATTGAAATCGTTACCTTTAAAACAAGGCACGAACTGACGACTCCTATATAAACCCAAAATACGCCACAGGAGGAAAC